AGCACCCGATCAGCTGTCCAGCTCTCTCACTCATACTCTCTCACCACTCACCCAAAAAACGCTCAACAGACCCCCATCTTCGGAGTCACTCATAACATGAGCCTGCTTTCTTCGAGCCAGTGGTCGTAACCCAAGAGGGCGCACGTTATTCCGTTCATCTGAATAATCGTGAGTCAAATCTCTTACAATCAGAAGCGGAGAATTCGGTTACCCGAAATCCCGACTTCGTCGAGTGTCGAGTCCCCTAATGGGATCCGATTCGGAGTGAAACAGTATTGTTGATAAACTTGCCAAATCTTGCCATTCCGAGGAGATATGTGTAAGAGCTCAGCGGGATACGTTGTGAATATTCCGCGATGGCAGACTCAGAAGATCACGGAGTCTCCCCGATAGAACAGCTTCAGAGAGGGAATGCTGCGTTGCAAACATACAAGAACGATGCATTATTCGCCGACGCGACTCCGGAGGAACTGCCCGTGTCCGTGCGGCGACGTGGATCGATGATCTCACAGTCTTCCGGCGCCGCGTCGGGTGCCGATTTCAGCGGAGCAGCTCTCAGCCTCTAACACACAGGCTTCTCTTCGTGGCCTGACAGATCGAAAAATATCGATGTTCGATCGAGCTTCGCCTGCGTTGAGATTCAATTTCGATCACCGGTGACTCTTGCAGGTTGGGACAGGAGAGACAGCAGCCAGAATGGAAGCCTCACCTAACCTTGGAGCTCACAGCGCCCCGGGATCCCATCGAAACATCGATAGGATAGAAATCGACTTGAGGAACATCAAACACGAATGTAGGCCGCCCATCTTTATACGTATTCTAGTTATATTCGTTAATCCGATTCTTCGACTGCTTCTTAAAATACTTTCCTTCATCCAGTGGCAGACATGAGTTTGAACGACCATATAGGCAGTTTCAACCTTGTCATGCCAGGCATGTTCTCGTGACTTACGGCAGGAGCTTTGGGTCCTTCTCGAGAGACAGGTGCATTGCAGGGTCATCCCCGATTTCCAAGCTCTGGGCCCTTTATTTCATGCATTGTTTTCCGATTTCCAGGCTCGGCTGACATCGTGATGCCGGAGCTCCTCGGCCTGGCCAAGGACGCCGCCCTGAGGGATATGGCAGGGAACGACTCCCATAAGCTCCGGACCCAGTTCAATAGGGTCGCCATCAACCTCAAGCCGGCCGTGAAGGGGGCGGTCTACATGCTGGCCACCGCGTGCCGCAACAAGGACCGCCTCACGAGGAACTTCGGTTCCCTCCCCGACCGGCTCCGCGAGATGGCCTGTGTGCAGGAGGCCTATGCAGTCAAACCTCGTTACAACGAACACGCTGGTGCCAGCGATTTTCGTACGTTATACTGAATGTTCGCAAAAATGGGAGCGACTCAGAAATGACCATTCTGACGTTGCAAACTTAAAGAAACGCTGTCATTTATTCGATATCGAGTCAAGAGCTTGTTGTGGACACAATCACTTCAAGAACTCCGTCATCTTCGTTTGAATCTTGTTCCTCGCCTGACTCGCTACAACATAAGCCTCGAGGCTGAGCGTATAGGTCAAAACATTGTCTGGTACATTATCCCGAGTCGCCAAGAAACGTTTGACGACCTCGAGAGCGTTCAACGTTGAAATCACGGACGGTGGTTCGCGCTCTTCAACGTCCTCATCTTCCGCGCCCGAACTGTCACTGTCATCAAGAGACTCGGGCATCCCGGTTTTCGAAACCTCTCTGAGAATCGACGACTCGGTCAAAACCTCGCACGTTTGGAGGTCGTCATCCACGGTTATGTAGCCTTCGAGGGAAAATCCATACGGTAGACTCATGCCTTGCATTTCGTCATCCCAGAATCCAGAAAGATCGGTCGAGTCTTCACGACTGTCTTCGTCTGGAGCGGCGCAAGACCAAGCAGGCCGCTGTTTTTCCAACATTTCCGGATTGTTTCCGACTTGACTTCTGACCAAGCGTGAGCTATCATATCCATGGCCGCTTTCACGTCAACCTTCGACATGGAGCCGACTTCCAGGTTTACCAGTATTCGCCGAACCAGGTCTTTTCTATAGTTAGCTTTCACGGCCCTTATTATCCCCAAGTCTGAGGGTTGAAGCACCGAGGTGCAATTGGGGGGAAAGTTTTCGACGCGTATATTCGACATGCGCGGCAAACTCATGTGCGCTGAGCAATTATCGATCAAGAGTAGAACGCTCCTTTTCTGCAAGCGCATGTCTTTGTCGAACCTGATCAACCACTCGGTGAAGAGATCTCGCGTCATCCACGCGTTGCGGTTTCCCCGATATTGGCACAATAAGGATCTGACATCTCTCAAACATCGGGGTTTCGCAGACTTCCCGACGATTAAAATTCTCCGTTTCTCTGTTCCGCTGGCGTTACAACAAAACAAAGTCGTCAATCGAAGCTTCGACTTTTTACCCCCTTTGCAAGCGTCGCCTATCATCGCCAGCATTCGCTCCGGTAACAACTGGTAGAACAAACCCGCTTCATCAGCGTTGAACTACATCATCTGGAGAGTAAGCAGCTATAACTTCTCTTATAAACCTGTCCTTCCATTCGTTCGCTTTTTCGATGGGGGCATCACTTGACTCTCCGCACAGAACTTTGGCGCGAATTCCATATCTTTCCTTGAAACGCGCCAGCCAGCCTTCGCTGGCTTGAAAGTCTGGATGACCGAGGGATCTCGCGAACAATACAGCTCTCTCGCGGAGCAGCGGACCCGAAACGGGGACGTTGTTTGAACGCATCTCTTGAAGCCACAGAAACGTAGCTTTGTCGACTCTCTCGTATTTGGCTGTCCTCAATCTTTTTCTCTCAGGATCGAACTCGACTCCTTCTTCTTCGAGTCTCTGACGATTCTTCAGGAAGGTAGAAAGCGTTGATTTGCTGATGCCAAATCTCCGGGCCACGTCCACCTTCTTCACGCCGGAGCGTAACTCTTCGAGGACTTCAAGTTTCTCCTTTAAGGAGAATTGCTTCCTCCTCGTCTGGAGAGCCATGGTGTCCACGCACACGACTTTTCGAAGGGCAGACCGAGCTGCTTTATGTGCGTGACGTCTCCCTCTTGGTATGTGCACCTGTCTCTGTCTCAGTGCGGCATGGAGATCGCACAAGACTCGTATTGGATGCAGCAGATGACATCCGCCGAGTCCCGCTCCCAACATGCTTCTTTTCTACGCGACTCCCTCTTCAGTGAAGTCTGGAATTCGCTGTAAGGAGCTTGTGGACCAAATTGACGTAATTTTTTCGTACGTTCTACCGGGAAATTCGTAGTACCGAAGTTCGTCGTAACGAAGTTTTCTACCATTGGTTCCTATGGCGAACCAAACAAGAATCGAAATTTAGGACGTTATATCG